CTGCCAGTCAGGTCTGACTCGACGGCAAATAACAACAACGACATGGCAACCCCATGTGTTTCAGAGAACTGTGCTCCACAGCATTTTCAGTGGCTGATTTGGAAGTAGATTGCCAGGCCTCCCTTCCAAGGTACCTCTGGGTGGACATGACCTCAATTTTTCAGTTAGTAGCCAAGCACCCAGTGACCACCACCAGGCTCCTCCTGGGCCCCCAGGTCACAGCTAAGGCATCTTCTCTAGAGAGCAAGGGCTTCCTGAACTTCAGAGTGGCTTGTCTGGAAGTTGTGTCACAGGCCTCTATTCTCATCAGAAACACCCACCCCCACCCAGCACCAGACATCGAGACCCTGACCAGACTCACTGAGGCCCTTCTTAGCCAGCATGGTGCTGTGGGAAGACGTGCACACTGGCCTGCAGCCTCAGAATAAAAGCACGAAACAAGATGGTGTGGCTTTGGTGTTGCTGGGGACCACACCTGTGTGGGGACTCAGGGAAGGGGGCAAGGTCTACTTGGGCTGTGTCCAGATGGGGGACACAGCTGGCATTCCTCCTACCAGCCAGGGCAATGTTTTGGAGAAAGAGGGATTTCAGGGTCTCTTTGAGTGAAAGGGAGGGAGTTCAGTGGGCTGGGGAGGGAGGGCCGTGCCCAGGTGGGTTGAAGACAAGAAGAGGGTTTGCTGAGCTGGTAGCAGGAATGGAAAGACTCCACTGGTGAGACTGCTTAGCAGGGTGCAGTTGCAACTCCCATGGCTGAAATTTGGTCCATTTTTGCTTTGTATTAAATGCTTGAGCCATCAGATGCCGTGTGACCAGCTGAGGGAGCCCTGCTCAGTGATGGAGCTGGCCAGGCTCTGAGATGGCTGTCTGCACCCAGGGGCTGGGAGCCTCCCTGAAGCTCCATGCTATTGGCTCTGTTGCCTCTTCTCCACCTCAATTCCTAGTCTAGGATAATGAAAAGCATAAAATGAAAGTACATTCTATCGCGCTCTGATTTTTGCTCAGAAGCCTCAAGAGGACTGTGGTTTGTGAGGCCTGAGAGATTTCTTCCCTCCCTGAGGGCTCATTCTGCATTTATCCTTGATCTTCCAAGAGCCCTAGCAGGACGGTCATTACTTCTGGATCTACTCAGGCCAGGGCTTTGCCCTCAGGCAGGGATCTTTCTTTGGTTCATCTTTTACAGACATTATCACCTGCTCTGTTGACTGATACCCTTTTTGCAGCCCATACATCTCTTTCCTTCCTAATTTCGGGTTCAGATATCTGGATATAAAGTTCTTGGCCAACCTTGTCTTTTGGGTTTCAGGGCACTGTGGATGTGCTGTTTGCAGCCAGATCATGGCCTCTTTGAGGACTTTCCAAACCATGCCTCTCGCTGAGAGCTGAGGTAACCTGCAGGAGGTACTGGTCCACTGCCTCAGAGCAGCTGACTGAGTTTTTCACCTTTTATATCAGAGTTTTAAAGAATGTATACTTGTTCTCTGCCCAGTTTCCTGCTGCTGTTGCTGAAAACTGAAGGGCAGAGA